ATAACTTCTGGAATCCAGTCCGCATTCTCTGGACATTGCTGAATGCCAGGTTGCAGATTGATTTATGGTGGATGGCAATTCTCCCTCCCCCCCCTTTTTTTTTGTGAGCTTTGTTTCATTACACATCTGAGAAAAGTGTTGTCTCCTAAGACGTCCATCCTCTTTGGAAGTGTGTGTGTGTGGGGGGGGGTTCTCCCCCCCCCTCCCTTTTCTTACCCCGCCCTTCTTTAACACCCCCCCCCCCCGCCTCACCATTCCACAAAATGAAAGCGATGTGTCACAACACCAGTTCCAACCGGTTTGTTACCGTAGCTTTTCCACTACATGGGAAGGAATGGTTAAAAGGGTCAGATGACTGACAAAGCATGTCCCAATCAGTCACATGGTGCGTTGGATGCTTGTTAGAATAGAGGAAATAAGCTTTCTGGGATGATAGTGGATCAAGAGGGGGCTCAGGTGACCCACCCCCAGCCACGTGCGTTCCTGATGAAAAACTTCTTGCAAACACAGGAAATGTTCTACTTTTTCATTTATATTAAAAGGTTTTACATCTATAACAAGGAGTACATTCAAAGCAAAAGTTACAGTAAATGTGAAAGTGAAATAAGGGAGAAAGGAGAGAGAAAAGGCAATAGAAGAAAACAAAAAGAAACAATAGAACAATAGTCTCTCTTTGAGAGAGATGGGAGGTAGAGAAATGCGGAAAAAATAAATAAAACCATGAAAAGAAATATGAGATTGTTTCTGATTTTCCTTTTGGCAGTTATACATACAATTCTATTCAAGCCTCTCTCTCTTAATCCCATCATTTCCTTCTTTCTATAATCAATTGTTTCTAATCCTCAAGACCATAAATACAGAATCATTTTCTTTTTAATGCAAGAAGTCCATAAAGGGTTTCCAGTCCATAAAGGGTTTCCAGTCCGTGATCAGGAAACTTCTGTCACATCTGGGCTATGAAGAGGACCAAACAATTTCTCTGATGAAAGCAGAGACCAGGTTTCAGACTTGAAATCCCCTTAAAAACCTTCTTTCAGGATCAGTTCAGTCTCTCTTAGATATCAGGCAAGGCAGATCCTCTGTTTGGCAGATGAAAAGTCTGCTTGTCTAGGGAAATTACACCTGCAAGTTTCATGCGAGGATTGATACCAGGCACAAGTACAGGCAGTCCTCAACTTACGATCACAATTGTGACGTTGTTAAGTGGGAGATTTGTGACGTGACTTTTGCTCTCATTTTGCAACCTACCTTGCCACCTTTGTTAAGTGAAGCACCGCAGCTCTTAAATTAGTAACACGGCTCTTAAGTGAATCCAGCTTCCCCATTGACTTTGCTTGACAGGTCACAAAAAGTGACTGATCACATGACCCCAGGATACTACAATCGTCATAAATCCGAAACCAGTTGCCAAGTCATCCAAATTTTGCTCACATGTCCATGCTGCAACTGTTGTAAGTGGAAAATGGTCATAATTTACTTTTTTTTCAGTGCCTTTGTAACTTTGAAATGCACTAAACAAACTGATGTAAGTTGAGGACTACCTATAAGCAGGAACAGGAGTTGAGTTCAAAGTTTGTTAGGTGCTCCCTATATAGACTAACAGTCAAGCCAAGTTAGCGCTAGATAAGGGTCAGCGGATGGGGGGGCTTTAGGTGTCCTGTGTTAGCGCAATGGCTCCATATTTACATGCTTGACCTTCTCTCAGACTTGGCTCATCTCCTACAGTTGATGCTATGCATACTGACAAAAAGTTTTCCTGGGAATTGTCCTTTTTTTCAAAGGAATTGGCTTTCATTGCATCAGTTACTTGTAAGAAATCTTAAGGCTGTGTTTCATTGCCACTTTGGAATTGATCCCGGTTCTTCCTTCCAAACTTCTCACTCGTAGCAACCTAGTCCCTTTCATCCTCTCCTCCCCCCTTTACAATAAAATAAATAAATAAAATAAAAGCTTCAGTATTCTCAATGTCTAGAGAGATTCTCGTTCATCCAGGTCATGGTTGTCCCAAAGGTGCTTTTCAAAAAGTAACTGGACTTTCTTTGTTTTTGTTTTTTCTTGAAGATGTTACACTTCTCATCCAAGAAGCTTCCTTCAGTTCTTTAAAATGTGATCAGTTCTTAAGAAGATTGAAGGAATCTTCTTGGATGAGAAGCGAAACACCTTCAAGGGAAAAAAACAAAAAGTCCAGTTGCTTTTTGAAAAGCACAGTTTAGTATTCTCAAGTCCTTTTTTTTTTTTCAGGTAAGGTGATAATTTGAAAATGAATTTGGGCAAACTTTGGGTGAGGGGGGAGGGGAAACCTGGCATGTTATGGTCCATAGGGGGTCACGAAGAGTCGGACATGGCTTAGCAACTGAACAACAACAAAAAAGGTGATAATTGGGGCTGGCAAGGAATTGGCAACAATTTTAGATTCCATATCATGCATGCAATAAATCATAACGTGTCCATTCAATCAAAGTAAAATTATCTAGACTCTCTAAAGTATTAGAGATCAGTATTAGAATATTAGTATTAGATTGAAGTATTAGAGCAATTGGAATTTTTCTCAGGAAAGTTAGGGGGGAAAGAGACATATGACCAGTTACAAATCAAATCAAACCTTTATTACGAGCTAAGACCAGCCTAGCCAGTTACATTATAACATGGGGAGGAAGGAAAACATAGCATTCTCAGAGAATTTGGGCCTTGTTTTCCCCAGGAACGCAGCGTCTCAAAGCCTAATTTTGCAGAATTGTATACTTAAAGAGTTTCCTTGGATCTTCATAATTTAAAAGAAATGAAATGTTTAAATTTAAATGTTGCCTTGGGCTTGAAGCCCATTCATTGTTTGGAAACATATTAATAGTATGTAGTTATGGGGTAATGCATGCAAGGTAGAATAATATAAGAAGTTGCGAAAAAGACCCTCCCCTTTTGATTCAGGACTTAAACTTTTAACGCTCATAGTGAAATATTGCTTTATAGTGCCATCTAGAGGAATTTGTATGAATTGCCATTTCACTTTAGATCAGCTGTTACAATCCTCTCGGGATGGAAGTTTCACTTCCACAAAAACTTTTTGGTATATTTCCTTGTTAAGCACTTGGTGATGCCCCCTCAGACCATTCCACGGCAGAAATTGGGCGGGGGAGGGGGGAGAGGTCAGTTGAATCCATCTGGGGATATGTACTACTATATTGACTTGTTCAAACTCAGAAGGAAGCCTTTAATTAAGTAACTTTCTGCAGTAGCCTCCAGGAACTTTTTAGATTATAGTTTCATAGAATAATAGAGTTGGAAGGGACCTTGGAGGTCATCTAGTCCAACCCCCTGCTCAAGCAGGAGAGTCTATTCCAATTATTAGCCTCTACCTAGGATCGAACTCACAGCCTCCTGATTGTGAGGCATGTAGGCTATCTTAGTGGCAATTGGCTATCTTGCAGCTCTGAGAAAATCTGTATATTTCTCACTTTTGCAGAAAATCAGTGAAAGTGAATTAGTTACTTCCTATGAAGAAGAAAGAAGCTTTTTCTTTGCTAGTTTTCAAAATGAAACATGGACAAAACATGAAAAAAACACTTTTAACAATACAATGAAATGTAACAGTTCTTAAGCTTAAAGAACAGACTATGGAAAACAAAAATGATAAAGATAAAAAACAAAAAAAGAAAATCTGCCTTATATATTAAACCTCAATAATCACTGATTTTTAATTAATATTACTACAAAATCAATAGAAAATATGATTGTAAAATTTCACAAAATCTGTGCCAAAGCAGTACATATTGCTCCAATATTTGACTGGCAGAAAATACTGCTTTTCCCAGAATGGATAAATCTCCCATTTCCAAAAGACATCCCATTCTTTTCACATCTGGAATATTTCCTTTCCCATTTCTCGGGATAATTATTTTAGTCACCTCACCATGCTCAATCAGCCATCATTCCCGATAAACCGGTTCCAAAGCTTTGTACATAATTTGATATCACATCAACATCTTTAACCCTTAAGAGATTTTTTATAAATCTACTTACATGCATTAAAACACATCTCAAAAAGATACCAGATGACCACATGACCATACCATATGCCACTTCAAATTCTCTGCGTTTAAAAGGCATTTTATTTGACTGCTTCATAAATTACAAATGCACTTCATATAAGTCATTTGTTCTGGTTTTCTCTTAGCCTTGGAAAGTCAAGGAATCATCATAAGAGGCCCTGGTTCTCTGATGTTCTGACCAAGGCTTCCTGAGACTGTAATTAAGCACACACTTAGTCCAAACAACTCTTGTTTCATTTCAACGCTGTTAATTATATTCATTCCCAGGCCGTAATGAGTCCCAAACAGTTCCTTGAGATAAGCACCCACCTTTATCTCCTTTGAATTGCTGCCAAAAACTAAAGTGCCAAATTAGCTGAAAAAACTCCAACGAAGTACAAAATCCACACAGAGCTTCAAGGTTTAATCTGAACAGAGTGAACAGCTTTGCTTCCTTGCGGGAGGGGCAATCACTTCCAAGCCTTACTCCCGAGTTGCCCCTTTTGTCTTTAGCTGCTCTTGCCTTCTGGCAGCTCTGCGCACAAGCGCACTGGGAACAGACTCCCCTTGTTCCTCTGCCTTGCTACTCCCAAGTTATGGAGGGTCCGGAGTCAGCACCCCACTCCCAGATGGTCCTGGCCCCATCTTTGCATCGGATGCAGGAACCTCGTCCGAGTCCTCTCCAGACTCCCAGACTGGTCCCTGTTCTTCCCCACTGTCCGATTCTGCTGCCATCTGCACAGGCTGCTGGTGGATGGAATCCCTAGCCATTTGTTTGCTTTCTGAATACCCCTCTCATCCCCTGAAGTAGTACCTGGAAGGGGGAAGTGTCGTTTTGGTTCCCCTTCCCTCAAATAGGCCTGAAAATACACATGGCGGAGTGGGGAGAGGATGGGTGGGTGGGTGGGTGGGTCTTAGGATTTATCCTTTTCCTTAAAAAAATATCCCTGTTCATGTACCTTCCCTTTTTTTCAGTGAGGCAAAGCGGGAGAGGAGAGTCCCTTCTCCTGATGTAATAGTACTATCGGACAACGAGCCGTCAAGCCCGAGAATGAATGGCTTAACCAAAATAGCATTAAAAGAGACCAGCGCCGAAGTGCTAATGGTGAGTCTGACCCAGCAGTCATAAAACTGAGAGCAACCTGACCCTATCCCCCTTCTCCCCCCTCCCCTCCCCCTTTGATATGTTCAGATCGTCTGACCAAGTAAATCATGAGTTCACCTTTGGGGACGCTTCCCATCTGCACCAAATCATTTCTTCAGCAGAAGCAGTGCATACATCGACTTTCCTCTCTCCATTGGCAAAAACCTATGGTGCTTTGTGGCTAGGAGGGTTTTCTCCACTGTGATTTCCTCTGCTGGCTTCCTATCTCCCTGGCTTTGCTCTCCCTCATCCAACCTCCTGCTTCATTCTATTCCTTCAATTGAAGTGCGTGGATTTCTCGTCCATTTCAAGTGCACCAGCAGCTCAAAATTTTCCCGCTTACTCCCATACCACGACTCTGCTTTTTCTGTTCTTGACGCCTGGGCCACTTACACGAATCATCTTGCCTGTCTCTTTTTGACCCTCACGCTTGGAATTTCTCCTGCAGCGCTAAAGTCGTCCTTCCCCTGCCTTGTACCCTCCTGGGATGATGACAATCCTGTCACTGCTGGCTTGGAACTTTGGCAGTTGTCCTTTAACATGTCTGTAGGACACTGGATTAGAGAAGGCTGGCCAAGGTCACATTGGTGTTGTCTCTCTCTCTCTCTTTCTCTTTCTCTCTCTCTGTTGTGGCCCGCCAGCGGCTGACAGAGCTGGCGGCAGAGTTGGACAGTGAGGAGGTTGGGGAGGAACATAGGCCAGTCCTGGAGGTTGAGGAAGGCTCGGACAAGGGCTCTGCGTCAGAGGCAGAGATGGGGCCAATGCAGGCTGGCAGTCTTCAGCTGCCTTCGGGCTAGGACAGCAATGAGGCGGGGGAGCAGCTGGAACCAGTTCCCAGCCTGCAAATATGCAGAGCTGCCAAAAGGAAGGAACAATTAAGAGCTCAGGGTCAACATGGGAGTCAGGCCACAGGTGGACGGTGAATGGCCCCTCCCATCAGGATTAAAAGAGGAGCAAAAGGGGAGGGGGCTTTTGCAGGAAACAAGTCATTCGTTCATTCCAGCCTCGTGAAGATCTCTCTGTGTAATCCAGCCCATCCCTGTCAAGCTTTCCAAGATAGATAAGGTCTGAGCTAATAAATATACCTTTGCAAGACTGTTGGACAAGCCGTTGGCTGAATGTGAATGCCCTAAATTCACATTAATTTAATAAAAGGGGTTTTGACGGGACTCAGAGTTGGCTTAGTGCTTTTTGGGGAACCCTAGGACAGAACACACACTCCCCCTCTCCCTCCTTCTCTCTCTCTCTCTCTCTCTTTCAACTTCAAACCCCTTTTTTAAAGTTAGCCCTTCTGTCATTCTTCCTAATTTGACTCTCCCCCTCCCTCCCTCAATGAAATTAACACTTTTTCTTTCAATCACACGTGTCCTTGTAGAAAAGCAGCCCAGAGGAACGGGAACGAATGATTAAACAGCTGAAAGAAGAACTGCGGTTAGAAGAAGCCAAACTTGTCTTACTGAAAAAATTACGACAAAGTCAGATACAAAAGGAAACAACAGCCCAAAAGGTGAGCAGAGTCTGCCTTTTTTTTTTTCCCCCTTCTTCTGTACTTGGAGTTTGTTAAGATTTATTTATAGAATTCCTGGTCACTGGATTTTGAGCTATAAATGATGCTGTATGGCTGGACAGAGAGAAAAGAGAAGTGAAGATATAAACGCTATGAGAAAACACAGGCTAATCATTATAATAGGGGCTACTAGCGGTTTTTTAAAAGCTGTCCATCCCTGACAGAAGTCCACAGTCTTAAAGTTAGTTGGACACCCATGATGTAAATGAAAGTAGCACTCTTCCAGGAAGCAAATTGCCATCATTCCTCCACTTCTCCCCTCTGCTCTTGGAAAACTGGGCTAAAGTTGTGCAACCAAAAAAAAATAGAGGCACTTTGGCACCACATTTTGGCAGTGAAAACTCACCGCCCCATAAATGGAGAACCAAAAGCAAACCAATTCAGAACAGCCACCTTCTGCGCTAATACATCTCTCTTCCCCGTGTGTTTGTCTGTTTCATAGCCTCCTGGTTCTTCAGGTAGTGCCGTAGCAACACCTCCCCCATTGGTGCGGGGAACACAGGGCATGGCATCCAGCAAGTCAGCCCTTCTACAGGTGAGGACCTAAGAAAGATCTTTGGTTAATTAACTCAGCCTTATAAGCCGCTTCAGTACAGGTAATCGTCATTTTACAACCGTGACGGACGTCCCAATTATGGTCATACGTTTGACAGTTGTAAAGTGAGTCACCCATGTGGCCGATCTGCTTTTATGACTTTTTTTTTTTTTTGCATTGGTCATAAAGCAAATGTTAAGCAGATTCGTGGTTTGTTATGGGGCATTTTTGCTGATCATGTGGCTTCCGGATGCTATAAACAGCCCAATTGTGGGATTCAAATATTTTACTACCAGTTCGGTGGGCGTGGCTTGGTGGGCGTGGCAGGGGAAGGATACTGTAAAATCCCTAATCAGAGGTGGGATTTGCCGCTTCTCTGAATCATTTCAAAATTTCAACTACCGGTTCTCCAGAACTCATTAGAACCTGCTGAATACCACCTCTGAAACAGCCCTAAATGCAGGTTGCTTGCCAAGCATCCAAAATGTCATGTGATTGTGGGAACCAGGTGATAGGTACCTTTTGAAGGCTCCGTTGGAACTTTGATGAATTTCTAAGCAGCTGGTTGTAAGTCGAGGAACACCTGTAATGTTTCTGTTCCTACAAGTAGTTCTGAGAGGATAAAGAAACTGGAAATGAAACTGTACATGTATTAATCTGAATACTGCCTTCAGTATTCAGATTAATACATGATGATTAATACATTAATACATTAATTCATGATGATGCCTTGTGACTGCTGGGATAAGTCCCTGCAGTTTTCTGGGAAGATTTCAGAAGTGGTTTGCCATGGCCTCTTTTAGAACTTTTAGAATTAAGTTTATTGTCACTTTGAATGTGCACTAATTGGCATACATTAAAATGAAATTTAATGGGTCACCACCTCCAATATACATTACATAAACATGACTAAATACATACATACATAATTATGCATATACCCACAAATATTATATGAGACAGAGAAACAACTTAGTCTAGTACGGATGTATACATATACATGGCAAGAAAAATGAATCTCACGAGCTTACCAGACTTTTGCCTTCAATGTTCAATTCAATTTAATATTCAGTTCAGTTTTGAAGGATGTTCCCTTCAAATCAGGGTTGACTCCCTGCAGTTTTGTTGGGAAGACTTCAGATGTGGGTTTGCCATTGCCTCTTTTCCTTGGGCTGACAGTGACTGGCCCAAGATCACCCAGCTGGCTTTGTGCCTGTTGTGGTTAGCCAGCAGCAGGTGCGGATGGCTGAGGAGAGCGATGACTCTGATGAGGGGCCAGGACCATCAGGGAGTGGGCTGCTGCCTTCAGAGATTGTGGGGGCTGGCAGCACTGACAAGGAGGTTCCCGAGGAGCCTGTGCCAAGTACACATGCCTGAAGGATTGCTCTGAGGAAAGAACAATTACAGCAGCACAGGCGACTCGGGAGTAAGGCTGCAAGGTAACGGCCCCTCCCTCAAGAGGATAAAAGCCAGGTTTGACAAAGCGTTCTTTGCAGAAAGCAAAGAAGCTCTGAAACTCAACTGGTGGACATACTTGTTCCTTTTTGGAGAATTCTGTAAAGTAGTTCTTTATCTCTGGGTTTTTGGCAGCCTTGACAAACAACTTGGCAAGGCTCTTTCTTGTTGGAGCTAATTGTTGGAAAGCAGCCTTTTATCTGTAAAGGAACAGAATTGTGATTAAACCTTAAAAGGTGGCGGCGGCTGCCATTGTCTGTGTTTGCTGTCTGGGACCTGGTTGGGTCAGAACAGTGTCCGAGGTAAAATTAAAACTCAAAATCTCCAGGTTTCTTACCTGCTATCTCAACCCCTATACCAAATTGGCTGTCAAAGCTGTATTAAGAAAGTGGTTTATGTGCACAAGGGAAGTAGGGAGAGACTGCCCTTGACGGATCTTCGACTGTCTGCAGTTACAAAGCAAAACCATTTTTTTCTCTCTATTCCCTGTCTTCCCCAACCCCCCTCCCCCCTCCCAAAACAGAACACTTCTTCACGTATTCCTGGGCCTGTTATTCCTCCTCCTTTGATTCGAGGTGGGCAGCAGACATCTTCAAAGCTGGGCTCTCAACAGAACACGCAAATAGTCATGCCACCGCTAGTCCGAGGAGCACAGGTAAGTTATTGTTGTACCTTATATTCTTTCTTTCCTTTTTCCCCTTTCCCCCACACTTCACCTTTCTTCTCCCAATATCCTGATTATCTCTGCCTGGCTGGGAAAAGTCCCTTTCTGACTGAAACTCCAGAGAGTTGCTGTTGGCTGGGTTATACTGGGCAAGAGAGGCTGAGTTGGGTCAAATAGCTGGCTGTCTTTATTGTTGGAATCCTACATCCTTGGCAAATTTTAAGATGCATGGACTTCAACTCCCAGAATTCTCCAGCTAGTCTTGCTGGCTAAGTAATTTTGGGAGTTGAAGTCCATGCATCTTAAGCTTATCAAGGTTGATAAGCAGGAATATTGCATAGAAGACAAGAGCTTGGGTGCCTCTTCAATGGAATGACATACCTCCAGAAGAAGAAAAAGAAGAAGCACTTTATTGTCATTATAGAAGTACAACGAAACTGTGGATGCATCCCAGCAACTGTTTGCAATACAATAAAACCAGAGCATTTAAAAATGAAGATAAGAAAGATAAGAGTACCCATGTGGATGAAGCAGTGGATGCTGTATCACTAGAGGTTTTTAAGAAGAGACTGGACAGCCATTTGTCTGAAATGGGGTAGGGTCTCTCCTGCTTGAGCAGGGGGCTGGGCTAGAAGATTCCAAGGTCCCTTCCAACTCTGTTATTCTTGATAGTTCCTCCACACAGACAGTCTTTGTTTAGCTAAGAGCTGTGGTGGTGCAATGGTTAGAATGCAGTACTGCAGGCTACTTCTGCTGATTGCCGGCTGTTGGCAGTTTGGGGCTCACCAGCTCAAAATTGACTCAGCCTTCCATCCTTCTAAGGTGGGTAAAATGAGGACCCCGATTGTTGGAGGCAATAGGCTGACTCTGTAAACAGCTTAAAGAAGGCTGTAAAGCACTTTGAAGCGCTATATAAGTCTAGGTGCTATTGTTATTGCCTTGTTCAGCAACTGTTCACAATTGTGATGGTGATGAAAAAGTAGTTCTTGTGGCCAATGCTTGCATATATCACCTTCATATAGACTTGTAAACCAAAGGAAAGCTGAAGAAAGATCATAAGCACAGTCAGTTTTACTTAACAACTGTTTTGTGTAACAACTAAATTGTCCATTAGGTAGCCTCAAGTGATTTGGTGCCCAAGGGGGACACTAGAACATGGATCTTTTGTTTATTATTTATTAATTTTGAGTTATGCCCTACCCCAGTGGTGGCAAACCTTTTTCAGCTCCCATGCCAATAATTGCACTCACGCTCGCATGCCAACACCCAGAAGGCAATGCATGCAGCCCCACCCCCCTGTGCATGCTGGCGTGATCTCCTTGCCGCATGCCTGTGCATGCGTGTATGATACCCCTGCCATGCACCATGCATCTCTGCGCCTGTGCGCATGATCCCACACCACACATCTCTGCGCATGTGTGTGTGATCACCCCGTGCGCCATCCATCTGCGCATGGGTGCACGATTCCTCCACATGCCGCGCGTCTGTGCATGCACGCATGACCACCAGTACGCACTATGCATCTTTTTACTATTCTGTATTCTGTACAGTGGTAGATTTTGCCTTTTATACAGATGCAGACAGATAAACTCAACAAAAACATTCATACAAAGTCTTTATTATTGGTTCATCAGGTATCCTCATAACTCACATTTGTGATGAAGTTCTTCTTAATGTCCAATCCTTTGCATATTTGTCTTGTAGGTAAAAAGATGGTTATCTCCTTATCCCTTTCCTCCCATCTCGTAGTGATAGTTACCACGAGTCCATGAGTTCAGGCAAGAGTGAAGAAACCTCCCCCAACCCAACGAGGGTTAATTTAGTGACCAATCAGGATTACAGATGTGGTCACGTGACATGGACTACATTTCCCAGGATACCTTAACTACATTTACCATGATGCATTCCCTTAAGGGGACAGCTCACAATTGCTAACTAACTATCCAATTCCCATATACTGGCTGGACGGCACAGATGCCGTCCATCACTTCTTCCATTGCCTTTTGTTCTCTTAACTTCTCACCTCTCTTTTTTCAAGAGCTCATCAGCTCCATCAAATTGCAATTTTCTCAGTCTCTGTCTGTCTCTGTCTCTCTCTCTCAACACATTTATTCTTCTTCCATATATTCATTCTGCACTTTGAGCCTCATATATTATCATGATTAAGCCCATCAGTCACTTGTTTTTTATTCCTTTCATGTTTCTTCAAAATCTTTTCATTCTTGACCTTCTCTCTACATAACACATCCTAAGTAACCTGTTTCCATTGCTTTTTATTTAGATACATTTAATAAATCATGACATACTCAATCTTTACTCTGGGTAATAAAGAAGGCAAAATTGGTTGCACGTATAGCCATTTTTGCATCTTTTAACCAACATTCCACACAGAATACCATATACTGCTCACCAGCTTTCTACCAGTACATCTTAAAATTAATCTTTTCTTGTTTTTTTGTCATTTATCTATACTTTTACCATCCTTATCAAACACAACTGCCTTGGACTTGGGCACTTTAATTATCAGATTCACACTCTTGTCCAATATTTACTGCAAATACTTTATGTTTTCAGTCAACAGCAAGCTATTGCCTGCCTGCAAACGTACACACGCATTCATATTCCCAATAACACACATGTGACATTACACATACTTGTCTTGCTCCCTGCCACCGTTTTTGAACCGTTCGTCGAGTTGGTCTCACGCCTGCTTTGCTTCCACTATACACTGCTCTTAAATTCCCCCAGCCTTTCTGTCATTCAGGCCTATTCACTACAGGTACTCCTCAGCTAACAAGCATTCATTTAGCGTGAATGTGGAGTTAAAATTGTGCTCAAAAAAAGGGCCGCGAATCAAAGTGCAATTATGAAGCTTATTCTTTTTGCAGGTTTACATTGAATTATTTGATTATCTGAGCAGAAGGGAAAAAAAACACTTCCTCTTAGAATCCGATGCATCCTGAAAATCTTCCAACCGTTCTGAAAATAAAGCTACACACTGTTGGCTTTGGGAGTATTCTTTTTTTTTTTTTGATAAAAATAAAAAATAAATGAATAGTTTTTCCTTCTTATTTCCTTCCCCCTTTTTGCATTGCTCCCATGGCATCTTGTTGTTACCATCCCACCCTTCCCCTTCTCCTGCTTTCCTTCTCCCCTCCCTTTTTCCTGCCCTCCTCCCATCTTGTCCTCCCTCGCCTCCATCTGTATCAGTCCATCTCTGTGTCTCCCCAGCAAATCCACAACATCCGCCCGCACTCCAGCTCAGGGCCTCCTCCGCTGCTCCTTGCTCCACGGGCTTCCGTTCCTAGCGTGCAGATCCAGGGCCAGCGCATCATACAGCAGGGCCTCATCCGCGTTGCCAATGTCCCGAATGCGAGCCTTCTGGTCAACATCCCGCAGGTAAGCAGGCAGCACGGTTGCCCTTAAAGCCTTTTTTCCTCCCGACGGTCATTCAGGAAGGGCGAATGGCCCAGTCAGAGGCACGCATGCCTTCCTTGTCTCTGTACAGGTAGCCCTCGGCTTACAACCATCCGTTTAATGACCATTCGAAGTTACAACAGCACTGAGAAAAGTGGCTTGTGGCCAGGTCTCAGTTTATGACTGTTGAAGAATCCCGAGAGTCACGTGATCAAACTTCAGGTGCTTGGCAACTTACAATGGTTGCAGCATCCCACCACGGTCCTGGGATTGTCAATTGCAGCTTTCCCACAGAGCTTCTGACAATGGGGAAAGCCAGATTCACTTAAAAACCATGGCAAAACGGTCATAAAACAGGGCCTGACGACAATTGTCTGGCTTAGCAGTGGAAATTTTGGGCTCAGTTATGGTCCTATGTCAAGGACTACCTGTAGGAGGATGCTTGTAGTGGTCTTTTTGTAACTCAGTGGTCTCATTTTATCTCCTTCCTATTTTCTATAGCTATAGAGTGGGTTGATGGAGCTGATTCTGTTGTGAATATGAGGGATATTCCCTCCCCTAAAACTCTCTTTATGACCCTGTAATTCCTGAACTCAGGGGCGAGTCTGGGCAGTCGAATGGAGCTGAGCGTTGACTGGCCAGAAGTCCTTCCCTGATGCTTATGACGCAGATACTTTTTTTGTCTGCGCCCAAGGAGAGAAGGATCTGCTACCGAGGGATTCTCAACCTTCCAAGTGGGAGGCGAGCGCATCTTTATCACTTGGCCACCACACCACTCCAAATATTCCCTCCCCATTCATAGAAATACCAGTAGTCCTCGACTTACAACCACAGTTGAGCCCAACCCATTGTGAAACGAGTGAAACAAGAACAGTTAAGTGCCCCATTTTACGACTTTTCTTGCCACAGTTGTTAAGTGACTCACTGAAATTATTAAAGTTAGTAACATGTTTGTGAAGCGGCTTCTCCCTTGACTTTGGTTGCCCGAAAGACATAGAAGGTGGCCATGTGACGACAGGACACTGCAACGGTCATAAGCGGGGACAAACGGTCGTAAGTCACTTTTTTCCAATCCTGTTAAAACTTCAAACGGTCGCTGAATGCACTATTTTAAGTCGAGGACTACCTGTAATTTTGAAAGAACCAGATTTTCCATCCATGACGTAGGTCTCTGCTTACACGCAGGAAGTCCCAGGTTCCGTTTCCTCCATGGAGAAGACTCCCACCTCACGTATAGATCTCTGCTATCTTTTGAGTAGTGCGTAGTGGGATTGGATGGTTATAAGAAAGACTTTTCTCTCTCCCCCCCCCCCCCTTTCATTTCCCAGGCCTCCCCAACTTCATTGAAAGGTGCGGCTGGGACATCTGCCCAGGTAAACGCTTCGACCGCCAGCAGCGTTGCTTCCATCGTCAACTCGAACGACTCCCCTGCCAGCCGGCAAGCAGCTGCTAAGTTGGCCTTGCGGAAACAGCTGGAGAAAACCCTGCTGGAAATTCCTCCGCCCAAACCTCCGGCTCCTGAAATGAACTTCCTGCCCAGTGCAGCTAATAATGAGTTCATCTACCTGGTTGGATTGGAGGAAGTGGTGCAGAACCTACTAGAAGCTCAAGGTGAGGAGGAGGAGGAGGAGGAGAAGCTGTTAAGGGGGCCAAACGTTGAAGCCTTCCAACTTAGAACTCTGTTAGTCCTAGCACCGTCGGAGGCCACCTAGAGAGACGTGAAGCTGAGATTTATATTGCTTAGAGTTGTGAGCTGTTGCTGGACTTCGGTTCCCATCATGCTTGATATTTAGTCATGTTAGGTAGAAGTGGATAGGACTTCAGACCAATAGCTTTTCTGGGGGGGACTCTAGGCTGGGAAAAGCAATTTTAAGGTACTTCGATAAGTAATCAAAAGAGCAATATAAAATCAATTATAAATATAAGAACAATTAAAATTACTGAGGAGTTAGATATAGACGAAAGAACCCAAGTGCCTTCCCTTTCACTGCACCCAACCATTTCCAGCATAAAGGATCTACATCGGGGGGGCTCACGCCAATCTGCAGGGCCAAGTCAGAAGGCCCCTTCAGAAAGCCAGAAGGATGGGGCCTGGCCTCACCTCTGGCAGCAAGATATTCCAGAGAGCTGGGGCCATGGCAGACAAGGCTTTTCTGCTGGGTCCCGCCAGCCGAAATTTTAACTGGTGGATTAGAAATATGTTTGCCTGATCTGAATCTGTCGGCTTTCTGTGTTATTTTTGGTGGGACTTGCGGTGGTGTTTTTAAGAGCCACCAAGAAGCCCTTGCTTCTGTAGAGATCAACTCTACTTGCTGTTTTAGAACTTTTCTTCGTAAAGCTCCATTGCTTGCCTTCCCGGCTGTCTCCCAGTCATCTAAAATATAACTCCCATACATTGCACTGATGAATTGGCTTGAGGAACAAGAGAAGAGGACCGTCCTGCTCTTATTCCTTCCTCTTCTTGCTGAGCTTCTTCCTGCCCACCTGAAACCCTTGGTTGATCCTTCTGTCTCTTGCTCAGGTAAAGTCTCCGTCAGCCCCTCCTCGCAGGAGCCCTACACCTGCGTCCAGTGCAAGACGGACTTCACCTGCCGCTGGAGGGAGGAGAAGAGCGGCTCCATCATGTGCGAGACGTGCATGTCCTCCAATCAGAAGAAGGCGCTGAAGGCCGAGCACACGAGTCGGCTGAAGGCTGCCTTTGTGAAGGCCTTGCAACAGGAGCAGGAGATCGAGCAGCGGATATTGCAACAGGCCGCCTCTCCGATTCAGAGCAAGCCAGAACAAATAGCTCAGCAACATCACTCACTCAAGCAGGTAGGCATCTTTTGACTTGCTTTCTCAAGCTTTTACAGGCTGAAGAAGAAGTCCTCACAGCGCTGGGGGATAGAGGTAGTCCTCGGCTTACATGTGCCGTGGTGGCGCTGTGGTTAGAATGCAGAACTACAGGCTACTTCTGCCGACTGCCGGCAGTTTGAGTCTCAGCTTGAATATACAAAGAAATAAAGATGCGCAATGGAACCTCTTAACACTTTCCCAAAAGTTGGCACAAAAATAATGTAGAATGTAATACGAAAGGGGTGATTGAAAACATGAGTGCTTATTTCTGTACTTATTTAATGTGATTCTTGTACTATAAACCCCACCATGTTATTCTGAAAGCAAGTTCAGTCCTCACTAGTTGCATGTCCACAGCCTAGAAACCCATCAGTTCCCCTGTGGCATAAACTAGAATCTACCTTGCAAAGGGGACTGCCCAAAATCAGGACTGGGCACATGAAAACAACGCTAAAAACAACTAATTCACTTTTTCCTGCTTGGGCATGGGAGTTAAAGAACACATAACTAAGGTGATTAAAGACCTGGAGATAAAAACATATGTGGTTGTAGGAATTGGGTGTGGCCAGTCTAGAGAAAAGAAGGACTTGGGGTGACATGACAGCACTGTTCTAATATTTAAGGGGTTGCCACAAAGAAGAGGGAGTCAAACTATTCTCCAAAGCACCCGAGGGCAGGACAAGAAGCAGTGGGTGGAAACTAACCAAGGAGAGAAGCAACCTAGAACTAAGGAGAAAATTCGTCACAATGAGGACAATTAACCAGTGGAACGATTTGCCTCCAGAAGTTGTAGTTGCTCTCAACATTGGAAGTTTTTAAGAAGAGGCTGGACAACTATTTATCTAAAATGACACAGAGTTTCCTGCTCGAGAAAGGGGCTGGACTAGGAGACCTCCAAGGTCCCTTCCAACTTCATTCTGATCAGACCTGTGGTTTCCAAGCTTGGGAACTTTGAGATGTGTGGACTTCAACTCCCACAATTTCCCAGCCAGCTTTCAACGCTGGAAGTTGAAGTCCGCATACCTTAAAATTTCCCAAACTTGGGGGACCGTTGCTGTAGTCGGTATGATTCCAAGAATGTGATTCCACGCTGGCCTCCTTTCCGAGCCCTTGAGTTTCATGGTTTGTTTTCTCTTCCTTGTCTTGGTCCTTGTTCAGGCCTCCAGCCAGCTGCCCCGAAGTGCCAGCACCCCTCGCGGAGTCTTGCATGCATTTAGCCAGTCGCCCAAGTTGCAGAACGCCTCCGGTGTGGCCGTACTTGGTGGCAGGCAAGGTAAGCGTGCTCAGAGACCCATCGGCAAAGGAGGTGCTTACACTTGGAAGAAGACACCCGTCAATGCAGGTAGAGGACTTGCTCTTGAGACTTCTTGTCTTTATCGCCGCTGGCCGCGCTCCCTTGTCCGGTCAGCATTCTTTCTGAAAGCAAAAAAAAAAAAGAATCTCTGGGTAAAAAGGGTGTTTCTCTTTATTTCTCTTCCTTTCTTTTTGGTGCATTCATTCTTGCAAAGCAATATACGTATGCTAAGGCCTCTCTCCGCTGCTGTGACCTATTCGAGGTAGTCCTCAACTTACAACCGCAATTGAGCTCAAAATTTCTGTGGCTAAGCAAGACGTTCGTGAGTTTGGCCTCACTTTACGACCTTTCTTGCCACGGTTGTTAAGTGGCAATTCTTACATCGGTAACGCACGGTTGTTCAAGTGAATCTGGCTTCCCCATCGCCTTTTGCTGATCCAAAGGTCGCAAAAGCTGATCCCAGGACACTGCAACCGTCATAAATATGAGTCGGTGGCCAAGCGTCTGGATTTTGATCACGTGACCATGAGGATGCTGCAAACGTCATAAGGGTGAAAAGTGATCATAAATCACTTTTTCCAGCGATGTTGTAACGTTGAACGGTCACTAAACTGAAATGTTATAAGTCAAGGACTACCTATATGTGGCGTCAGGTTTCCAAGTGATGAAATCAATTTTAAAAAGAAAACAATAAAAGTTCCATTTTCCAAGACAATTTCTTTTATTTAGGCTTGATGGATGGATTCTGAGCCGCCCCATGACATCCTTGAAAAGGGATATTGGGAAACGCCAGTGTCCTTTTGCTAACTACCAAAAGAGCTACAAATTAGAAAATCTTGGTCTGTTTCATTTATATTACTTGCCGTTAAAAGCCCAGAAGGGGTATATTTTTCTAGGTTCTTTTGACGACAATGAAACCCACTCTGGGGTCATGTAATGAATTTCCCTCTCTTATTTTGAGACGGGGAGAGGGCAATGGAACAAGCTGATCAGACTTTATTATTATGATCGTTTAAATTTAATTACAGGTTGTCCTCGACTTGTGACCACAACTGAGCCCAAAAGAAAAATTTGTTGCCTCTTTTTACGACCTTTCTTGCCACCGTTCTTAAGTGAATTAACTGCAGTTGTTAAGTTAGTAACAGGGTTGTTTAAGTGAAGCTGGCTTCCCCGTTGTCTTTGCTGGTAACACGGTTGCAAAAGGGGATCAAGTGAGCCTGAGACATTGCAACCGTCCTAAATACATGCCAGTTGCCAAGCATCCGAATTTTGATCATTGGACCATAGGGATGCTGCAACGGTCCCGTGAAAACCCATCAAAAGTCACTTTTTTCAGTGCCACTGTAACTTCAAACAGTCCCTCAATGAATGGTTGTTAAGTCAAGGACTACCTGTATTTGAAGTCCTCCATAAACTGAAGTTTCTACCCTGTTTCTCCAACAATACGGCCTCCCCCAAGAGGAAGTCCCAGCATGTTTTATAGGCATGAAATGAAATTAAGCCCCTCCCCCCAAATTAAGGCCTATATTAAAACATACAAAATGGGGGGGGGGAATGGTGGGGGGATTTGCCGTTAGGAAGTACTTTTGTTGCACACCCGGATATGATGCTGCCTGCGTTGACCCCGATACGAAGTGCCCCACCAACGCTGAGGTCAACATCCAAGCCATCGCCACCCACCCACCCGAAGATGCAAGAGGGGTGGGAATTAAGTCACCCCCCAAAAGACGGCCTAGCCATTTTTTCGGGGCTCAAAAAAAAAATAAGACCCAGCCTTATTATATGAGAAACACGGTATATTTTCAGGGTTTTAATGGTGGGACTTAAGCTTCGGGGAGACAAATGGCTTTTACCACAAGCTTAAAATGGCACCCAAATAGGGTCTGAAATTAGTATTTTGAGTTTATTTGGAGGCAGTTGAAAAATGGGGATAGTTTGCCTCCCATTCCCAATTCCATCCTTGATTAATGGGAGAGGATCAAAAGCCTTATGGTCAACGTTCAACCCTTCGGCCACCAGAATGGTGAATGTCCAGGGCCTCCAACCAGCATTGTAGATGGAGACCAGGAAGCCTGGAAAGCAAAACATCCCATGATTTTCTCAGCAGCCTCCCGTTCAGATGTCCTGAGTGTCACCTGACTAGCCGGCTGTTACTCACCATGTCCTCTACCTCTTTTTCCAGCTGCGTTTCAGTGTTACAGGTAGTCCTCGACTTACAACCACAATTGGGACCAGAATGAAAGGGTGGCTAATTTATTATTATTATTCATCCTATGAGGGGAAACATGACAGAAGAGAACTAAACATAAATCCACAGTCCACGTAGATATAAGTAAAACTTCTACGGGGGTTATCACAGTGGTCTCCTCACTGAATGTCCAGTTCAGCCATCCAAGCAATCGCCTCTGGCGTGGCTTCGTGGAGGCTTTCTAGGGAACCAGGGGACGCATATCACGGGCAGTCTTGCACAATACAGGTAGTCCTTGAGTTATGACTACAATTGAGCCCAAAATTCATGTTGCTAAGTGGAACGTTTGTTAAGTGAGTTTGCCCCCATTTTACCCCATTTTTCTCCCCACATTCGTTAAGTGAATCACTACAGTTCTTAAATTAGCAACACGGTTGTTAAATGAATCCAGCTTCCCCCATTAGCTTTTGCTGGTCAGAAGGTCGCAAAAGGGGATCACGTGACCCCAGGACATTGCAGCTGTCATAAATGTGAGACAGTGGCCAAGCGTCTGGATTTTGATTATGTGACCATGGGGATGCTGCAATGTGTATTACGGTCCCAGGTCACTTTTTTCAGAGCCGTTGCAACTTTGAACGGTCACTAAATGAACTGTTGTAGGTCAAGGACCACCTGTATGTTTAATCGTTTGCGTTATCAAGCACCGCAATTGCAACAAGGGGGAATCTTTATTGGCTAAGTGGTAGCAGACATTAAACAAGTCATCATGTGACTAATTTGATGACGATTCTTAGGGTGGTCATTCAGCGAAGCATGCGGTTGTTATGTGAATCACGCAGCTATAGAATGAATCAGGCTTCCCCAATTAACTTCGCTTGTCAGAAGCCAGCCGGGATGGTTACCAGTTGCAATTAAGTGGCCGCAAGTTGCTGCAAACAATACATGCGAGCCAGTTGACCAGTACCCAAATTGCGATCATCTGACTGACTGTTATAACTTTGAAGATGGGGGTTGCAAGTCATTTTTTCCGTGACTTTGAACCGTTGTTAAACAAAATGGTCCTAAGTCAAAGACTACCTGCATCAAATGGCAGAATGTGTTTGGTGCTTGGGGTGGGGGGGGTGCCTTGTTTTTTTGCTTTGGGCTTTTCTGTCTATCTGTCTATAGTTTGATTAATTATATTTTGCAAACTCTTTTTTTAAAAAAAAAAAGATTTCCCCAATAACACTTTATCTCTCACCCTTATTCTATGCTGGCTTTGTCCCCAGACAGGGATGCCTTTTCCCAATCTGGCTGTTTCTCAATATTATTGAGAATGCATTGCCTTGTGGGAATTTTAAGACATGCCCATCTTGTTGTATACATCTGAGGAAGGCCAAAAAGGGGAGAGAGAGAGAGAGTGCCTAGATCAATGTTTCTTAATCTTGGCAGCTTGAACATGAGTGGACTTCAACTCCCAGAATTCCTCAGCCAGCATAGCTCATCTTCAAGCTGCTAAAAGTTGAGAAACGCTGCCCTAGACACTCTTAGAAGGGGAAAGCAGCCTCTCCCTTTTAAGAGTTCATTTCAATGCGCCCTTCGTGTTCCTTTTCTGCAGGAGGGACGTTGAACTTCGTTAGCCCTGGTCTCACCGTGCACAAAACCACCTCCTCGGCTGTAGACCGCCAGCGCGAATATCTCTTGGATATGATTCCTCCACGGTCCATCCCTCAATCGGCCACATGGAAATAACGCAGGAACCTCCGCCCCGAGTGGAAGACTTCAATTTATTCTTTTTTTTTTTTTGATCTATTACATCTTCTTGGGGTTTTTTTCCCCCCCTTCTTCTCCTTTTGATTCTGCCATCCTTCCCTCCGAAATCTCGCCATGCAGTGGAAAAGCCGCTTTCAAGTCTAACTGGATCTGCCCCGCGGGGTTTGCCGGAAAGTATTTTTTACATTTTTGGTGTTTTTTTGTTTTGTTTTTGCGCCAGTCCAGTCGGGGGCTATTTTGCTTCCTCTGCTGGTTAGAACGGACGCTCAAAAAGGGCGGTAATGAACATTTAAGCTACCAAGTTCTTGCAAACTTTTTTCTTTTGGGGGGGGGGAGGCTGATGGTTGAGATCATCCCTGAGGAGAATCTCAATTTAATATTATTGTTTTCTCTGTGTATTTTGTCTCTTTAGTTTGGGGATTATTATTATTTTCTCTCTTTTTTTTTTTTTTTTTTTGGATCAGCACTAGTATGGAACCAAGGACTCATGCAAGAGATTTGATGGCTCAGTTGCTTCCGGCCTCAGTCCCTTCCCTTCTTACAATACAGTCTCTCTCGTTTTGTTTTGTTTTTAGTTACCTTAGCTGAATTTTACTTTGGTTGATCATACAGTGGCCCTTCGTGACCAAGGATATATTTCCACCCGTTCATAGAAAGTAGAAGTGGGACCTGGCAATGTTGGGGGGAGGAAGGAGGAAAAAAAAAACAAAAAAAAATCCAGAAAGCTGGACCGGTTTCCTCACGGCCTTGTTTTCTCTAAAACCCTTTGTAATTCCTGAGGAGGCTTTAATCCAAAGGATAACAGCAGGAGTTTGCCGTTTGGTTTGGAGGTTTCATTTTGTTTTCTTTTTAACCCAGTAATATACTACGAGCAAATGCAGACGGACTTGCCACCGCCAGAAGAAATGGAGCAACCGAACATAGGATGTGCATCTTCTTGTTTTCGGGGTGTTTTTTAAAAATAAATAGAACCTTGTTTCAAAGACAGATGTTCTGCTCTGGACCTTTGCTAGTTTAAAGAATTACTGGACAGTTTATATAAAACAGCTCTATTGAATCTCCTCAATCTGAAACGAATGAACAGGTTGTTTTTTGTTGTTGTTTTTTACAGAAAAAAATAAGAAAAAAAAATAAGTCTTGACGCGCCCAAAGAGAAAAAGTGAACTGTGTGGAGATGAATAATTTTTTTTCCCTACAAAAAAAAAAAAGCAAAGTATGATTGAATCTCCCGTCCCCTTTTCATTTTTTTTTCTAGAAAAGTTTTTACTGGGCTATCTTAAGAACAGTGTGCAATTTAGTCATGTGGAGCAGAAGGGACCAGAGAAGTACATTTTTTTGTGTTTTTTTAAAAAAGAAATAAATAAAAGCAACAAAAGAAAAACACGAGACAAAAGTCCACATCTCTCTTGCTACCAATTGTTGTGGGGAAAAAGAAAACAGCTTTGCCGTAGGTAAACCGTTATATTACTGGTGCCCTCCATACGCGCTGGACTAAGCTCCCATCATTCCCAGCCAGGGGCACAAATAGAGGGTGCCTAGTGTAGGCGGGGGGAAAAAACCCACAGGGTCTCCGGCTGTATAAGCACAACATGGGTGCAAAGAACTGTTGTCTCTGGTATGTTCAATCCCATCCTTAGAAATGTAACCAATTTTTAATAGCATCTTGACTAATGTTGGCTTTAAACCGCACTTCCTCTTCCCATTCCCCCTGCCTAATTCAGAGAAATACAGGGGGGGGAGAATGTCATATTTTTATTTTTCCCCTTCGATGCCATTTTTTTAAAAAAATTTGATAGTAGAGGCAGAAGTACAGACCTTTCTATACCTATTCATATTAGCGTATTGGTACTAGATCTAGTGCTGATATAAGAGTTTGTTGCAAAAAAAAGTATATATAAATGCATATATAAATATAAATATATCTAAATATATCTAACTATATATATATATATATATATATATATATATATATATATATATATAT